CCTGCCTTACTACTAGGAGCATTCTTACTACTAGCAGCAAGAAGCTACTAGGAGCAAGGGCATCGCTTCTAGGAGCAAGAAGCTACTAGGGGCTCCTGCCTTACTACTAGGAGTACTAGCAGCAAGAAGCTTGGATCTGGACGTTCCAACAACTTGACGTTCGGCGGCCAGTCCGATGAAACGACCATTCCGTCTCCGAAGGAACGACGGTCACGTTTTCGGAGGGGTTTCAACCTCGATCGGACGATGCATATGGTTTTGTATGGTTTTGGTCGATGGTTGAGCCTAAAACCGCATAGTCATCATATATCAATGTGTTAACATATCATCAATGAATTATTCAGAAGAGCTTCTAGTGGCCCGTGTTTTTCTTGGCCCATGTTTCTTCCACATGACCACGCCCCATAAAAATGAAACACACAAAACAACTAACTATGTACATTTTGTTGCAAGTCTCGTGCAGTTTTGCGTGGAGTATGGATGCCTTTTGCTTGGAGAGCCTGGCGAAACACTGCCTAACAGAGTCTGTTTGCCACAGGCAGGAGCAGCAGCAAAAATTGCACCAAGCAATTTGCAAGCTTCTACACCCAGGCGGATGATGATACTAGGGGCTCCTGGCATCGCTACTAGGAGCAAGAAGCTACTAGGGGCTCCTGGCCATACTACTAGGAGCAAGGACGCTACTAGGGGCTCCTGGCATCTTCTACACCCAGGCGGATGATAGAGGGTATGTGAATTCTGGGCAGGTGGACACTGAGAGGAGCACCACATTTTTTTGTTGGTGGAGCCTCCCAATCCCTCCGACAGTAACCCAATTCTGCGGACTTGAGTGAGGTGAATGCAAATGACCTTCACAACCTTGGTTTTGGAATCCACGGGATGAGCTACACTAGCTGAAATTTTCCAGATGTATCCCCTCAGTATACTCAAGTTTCCCTAAAAATCTACGAACCAAATGATTAGTGCGAGCGTGAACTATCCTGCGTCCTATCTAGGAGCTTACTCCCTTGTTTAACTGATTGAGCGCCTACTTAGTTAAGGAGGAGGGGGCCAAAGAGAAGAGAACAATATGTATCTCAGCAAAGTGACCGAGTGAAGCCTTTCCCGGGCATGGTCATTCCTTTGCTACACAGAAGACAAACAGTGCAAACAACCCACGATGCTGGCAGATACTGCCCTGAGCAGCTCTCTACCGCCCTGTGGTTTACGGACCCCTGTGGAGGAGGCAGGGAGATTGGTTGCGAGAGGAAACGTACTGCTGGCCTTCGCTGTTGCCCAGGTGTTTGTAATTTATGAGAATTCGTGGCCTTGTATTCACGAAGAATAACGATGTGTTTTGTATTTACACTTAACTGTCACAACCAGAATTTCTATGTTCGCCTGCCGCAATGCTGTGATGTGCTGGTGAAGTGGGCCGGATGCTTCGTGGCGACTGTGATCGGAGAGTGCTTGGATGCTTCCACTCAGTGTTTTTCGTGGCTGTGAGCTTTCTCACTAAACTATAACATGAACATTGGGTAATATTGTGTGCATCTTTCAGTATGGATCCATCCCAACCAATCTCGGCAACAGTGGATGATGATGATGATGATGGAGGACGAGGAGGAGGAGGAGGAGGAGGAGCATGGTGAAGAGGATGTGGTCCTTGATCCGCGGACCTGGATCTCCGGGTGTCGCAGCTTGGCCGCTTGGCGTTTTGCCCTGCTGCAGGTGGTGACCTATGCGGAGTCGCAGAGGCAAGCCGAAGTTGGCGTGGGTGACGTGAGGTGTTGGAGGTTTGACATGTAGTGGAAAACATGTCCGTTCAAGGGTTCCCAATCCTAATCCATCCCAGACAGCTCATTTCCATGCATCTTCGTCAGTTTGATTGGGTAGATCCGAAGTTGACAGGAACAACTACCATGTCGGTGAATCCGGTGAATTCCGCCGGCTCATGAAAAGCGTCCGGTGAGGCAGCTCTTCAGCGACTTCTTGGGTGAGCTGTCAGACCGGTGGGTCGTCAACTTCACCCAGGTCCTTATGCAGGCGGATAGTGCAGCACTTGACTTTCTGGGTGCAAAAGCGAAAGTCAGCGAAACTTCACGAGTCATTCAGATCTCTGCATGATCCTTGCTACTAGGAACAAGAACGCTACTAGGGGCTCCTGGCCTTACTACTAAGAACAAGGACGCTACTAGGAGCATGATCCAGCACATAAATTTCCACACTCTTGAGAGCACTTTCTGGCTGATCCGCCATGCATTCATACGCTTTGCATTGCAGTGCTACTTCATGTTCCTCAATACAACCTCTGAGTTTACTTTTCCAGGGGGGAGCCCATGCGCAGTGGTCGCTCAAGGGATCTTAAGGGTCCGTACAACTGCAATTTTGGGGGGTACCCACACGACAGTCTCTGTCCTTCCGTCATTCCCACGGCGCCCTTCCGAAGCAAAGAGGATAAAGCAAAACAAAAACAGCAAGGAAGCTTTCTCTGGATGTCCCTCTTTGCTGCGTGAGCTGCGTGCATCCATTTGTTCAATGAATAGAAATTAGGCCACTCTTCCCCCGCAACTACATCATTTGACCTCCAACCCCCCTCTAGACATCCAGAGCCCTTTTTCCCAGAGGGACATGTAATCTACTTGAAGGCGTTTTTGGACCAGTTTTGGTATGTTTTGGGATATATTGTGGATTCCTGTTTTTGCTTTACTGCTCCTCGTGTTTCTTGAGTTATCTGCCTCTTTGCTTTTTGATTCTTGGCGAATACTATAGGGAGGTTATAGGAGTAGGGTAGCTAAATGTCAAGTAGACAAACCACACTGATTGCCGCCATGTATTACTCAGTGTCAGTCCAATGACAGACCTAGGGTCCCACCAGTGACCCGGCACCGAACATATCTCTTGGCGCACCATGAACACGACAGAGAACAGACAACAGTGACACACACTCTGACATTGGCTTGCAGTTAACTCAATTCCCAGGAAAAATGGCGATGGAACCGAAAGGTGAAAGAGTCGGAGCACTTGAAGGTGTTTTAACAAAGGAGTTGTTCACTTGACTGCGGAAGCTAGTTACTGCATTAGCCCTTTACTGCAAGAACGGTAAGGTGCAAGGGTCCGAAGAACAGAACTGTTTAACAAACGCACTAGCACTTTACCAAAGCTAAGGAAACCTCTTTTGGGGGATATCATGCGAACAACCACCATGGAAACAACAAAAGGAAAAGTGGAGTCACAGCGTGTGCAAAAGTTTTCATCCGCGCAGGTACAGAAGTTTGCGTCCAACTTCGTTGGCGTGACTAGGAAATCGACCGTCGCGCCCCCTGCGACTTAAAAGTTGAGAAAAACAGAAACTCTTAGTTACAGAGGTGGACACACAGAACGCCGATATCGGCGCTCTGGGGGAACTTACTAATCACCTAAAAAGCCTTAGAACGAAAGGAAAGAAAGACAGAAAGGAAAACGCAAAGGAAAGAGAGAAAGATAGGTGTAGTGACAAGGCCCACTAGTTACGAAGCCTGCTAGTTACTGACTACTTAGCCGAATGAATTAAATGCAGTAGTTAGCGAGCGGGACATACGTCTTAAACCGCCCGGGTAGCTAGGAGTAGAAAAGGAGAAACAGAAGGAAAGGTACCGACACACAAGTGTGTCGAGTACCATTTCCTTCTGTTGCCCTAGATAGCGGGTGGGATAGAAACACGAATTAGGTTGCAAGGTGGGGGGGGGTGTGTGGAAGTGCAAGTGTGGACAGTAGCTTCACTGGTCTCAATTCCTCACATGGAAATGCAGCACATGGAAATGCAAGTGGAGATGCAAGTGGAGGTATTTCGTAAGCCCGACGGCATCAAATTCAGTAAATCCAGTAGTGAAACTAAAGCGGCTAAGAAAATCCAAAGAGAGGTGGAGAACGGTGGAATCAGTTACACGATTTCCGGAATGAAAACAGCGCCTCCTTGCGGAGGATCACACCCAGCACCCAAGCGGGACGACTGAGCGAGTCACACTCTGACATTGGCTTGCAGTTAACTCAATTCCCAGGAAAAATGGCGATGGAACCGAAAGGTGAAAGAGTCGGAGCACTTGAAGGTGTTTTAACAAAGGAGTTGTTCACTTGACTGCGGAAGCTAGTTACTGCATTAGCCCTTTACTGCAAGAACGGTAAGGTGCAAGGGTCCGAAGAACAGAACTGTTTAACAAACGCACTAGCACTTTACCAAAGCTAAGGAAACCTCTTTTGGGGGATATCATGCGAACAACCACCATGGAAACAACAAAAGGAAAAGTGGAGTCACAGCGTGTGCAAAAGTTTTCATCCGCGCAGGTACAGAAGTTTGCGTCCAAACTTCCATCCAGTCGATTTCCCTAGCTTCGTTGGCGTGACTAGGAAATCGACCGTCGCGCCCCCTGCGACTTAAAAGTTGAGAAAAACAGAACACACGCACATAGTGACAACACCAAGGATACACACAACACGCATGACACTTGACGATACACAAGGTCAAACATGACAACAGACAATGACAAACATCGCGGCAACACCAACCACAGTCACAACACACACACACACGCACATATATCTTCGTTGCCGCTCGAAGTAGAGAAACTTCTTTGTTTTTTGTAGCTCTTTGTTTCTGCGTGTTACAGTGTTACACGTGGAACTGTGTGTGTTTGTTGCTGGTGTTTGCTTTTAGTTTTTCCACTCTTTAGCTTCCTTTTCTTTGTTCTGTGGATTCGTTGTTCCCACCTGCCAGGTGAGGGTTGTTAGATTTTATCAGAGCTCTTCTTCTCTTCTCCTCTCCTCGTCTCCTTGACTACCGCACCTCAACTGCCAGCTCCAGATCGCAATGAGTATATACCTCAACTGCAAGTGCATGATCGCAGTGGGCAATACCGGACCTCAATAGCAAGCGCCAGATCGCAGTGAGCACTGCCGGACCTCAACAGCAAGCGCCAGATCGCAGTGGGCACTACCGAACACACAATCACAAGCACACAACCACAAGCGCAATCACAAACACAATCTCGCAATCACAAACACACAGCACACAGTACACAACCAACAAAGCGCAGCCACACACGCAAAAACAAAACACAACCACAAGCACCAACGCAACACACAAGCAACAAGCAATCGCAAAGAGACTACCGCTGCGTCAGTCACTGTGTTTGACTGTTCGTTGCCTACCACAACGTGAAAACACATGACTGAAATGTCATGGTGGGGATCACTCGAATTCAGAAGCTTTTCTGCGACTGTTCGTGTTGCTTCACTCCTTTGGTTTTTTGTTTGCCTTTCTGAGGGAAGCAAGGAAGGAGGCCAGGAGTCAAGGAAGCCAAGAAACAAGAAAGAAAACCAGTGCCAATGGGGCCGAAGCTCTTGAACCACTTCACCACTGGTTGTTTTCAAGCTTTGGGGTAGTGAAACGCTGTGCTGGACATAGCTGTGCTCAGCAGCCGCAGTTGATTCTACAATGTCGAAACCGCATCAAATACGACTGAAAAACGCTCACTGAAACATCCAAATCCTGGATATTGCACTGGAAGTGGACTAAATTTATGATGTCCGCAGTGCTGCCATACCAGCGAAAGTTGAAACCTACGGTTTCCCTCTAGATGTGTAAAGTCCTTTTTAACAGCAACTTTGACAAATTTTTTCTCGCCAGGAATACGTAGGTCCTTAGAGGCCTCCGTGGCAGTGTTGTGTCGCATCACTCAGTGGAGGTCTTGTCGCTTTGTATCCATCAGCTCCAGAACCTTCCCACCGAAGAGGCCCTCGAGGTTCAGGAGCCGTTTGGGTCGCCATTGTTTGTGACTGGAAGATGCCCTTTGAACTACGAAGAAACGTTTTGCGTAACTCCGGCTAAACTGGAACCCGTGAAATGTTCTGGTAGGTCTTGGATGATCTTGGTAGTTATTTTTGATATAAGCACAACAACAGATGCTCTGCTTTTTGCGTTTCCAAGCGGCCCTGCATACGACGTTGAAATGGATGACTTGCGCGCGCGCGGTCCGAAAGAAGGTGGAATTCTACAGATCTACTCGTGAGATGTTATTTGGTCCATTTCATGGAACAGCATGAACCAATCAGTGAGTTAGAAACATAAGCTGTGTGGTCGATATTGTTTGTAAGTTCTGGGTTTACCCTACCAGGGCACTACCAGTAGCTCGGCAGAATTGAAACACATGGTTCAGGCTTGGCTCTTGGCCCTATCAAAAACACCAAGGAATATCAGAGGGAATATATATATATATATTTATGAGTCACAGCGTCCCACGAAACACTGATCCGGGTTGGGTTTTATGATAATTGTTTGCGCACATTTTCCAGCTTGACCCTTGTTTTCTGGAGGCGAGGTGAGGCGAGGTGATGACTGGCAGAGATCGATCGATCGATCTATCTATCAGCCTTTCGGTGCAAGCGGCTATCCCTGGCCACGTTTTCCGTGATGTGATCGCCATGAAGCCAGCCGGCAGCTGGTTCTTTGGGGGTCCGGGCCCCCGTGGATGTCATGCATCCTCCTGCTGACCTTGGTTCTGCAAGCTGCTTGTTCACCGCCCGGTCCCAATTCCGGGTCCACTCTTCATCTCGGCCTTGTTGGTATGGTTTTTGAAAAGAGGAGTGGGAAAGAGCAGGGTTGGCAAACGGCCCAGCGTTTGCCTGAAAGGGGTAGGGATACCCTTAAAAGAAGTGAAGCACCCCCTGAACAACTGGGCGAAGGGCAAAATGAATCCCACGGGATTAGTGTCGCAAAGAAGAGAAGCTTCCAAAGGGCTCAAAGGTGCCAGGCTATGGATGGCATGGAGCTACATAGAGGTAAGATGCTTCTTGGTCCGCCTGCTGTGTTGAGCTCAGCCATAACTCCATTGCCTGGACCTACAAGAATGACCAGACCATCTAGATCCAGTATGTCCATACACAATGAGCTTGATTTTAACTGGATTCATCGAAGTTCTTCAATGGGCTCAGCTCCAATGCATGGATGCGCTGCATCGTCATAGCCTACCAGTGAATGCCCTCGCGCAGGCAGATGTAGACTGGAAACGGTCTGGTGAATGCATGGTCAAATTAAAGCGTATTCTTCACACCAGTCCGAAATATGATAGATTGCAGCTTAATCAGCCAGCACCCAACTAGGGCAATAAACTCCGCTTGTGACAGTTGCTCCTCTTCTCAGAGCCAGCAGATGTACCAATATCTGTGTATGGCCAGGTGCCCCTGCTCTGTCATATTCGCAAAGATGTTGTCGAACTTGTCTCCAAGCTGTGACCCAGTCAAAGTCAGTGTTCCGAGTCTCACCACTGAAACCTGACACAGCAGCGGGCTGTCCTCCGCTTGTCGAGCTCCCAGCCGGCCCGAACCATCATATCCAGCTCCTCTTGCGCCCGCAGGACGTTGCACCAGAATATGCCGGCCATCGTGGTGGTGCAGCGTCTGGAAAATTCAGTCTTGCCGTTGGTAGTGCAAGTTGTCATTGAGGTGCACCAGCTCCATGTGGTGATGCGAGCGCAGCAATATGAATATGTGTCTGAAGTCATTGACTGGGTGCACACACAGACTCAGGTCAGATTGCCTTTCGAGATCTACTACCAAGTAACACGTGTGGAATATTGGCAACAGGTTGAAGTTCGAGCAGGCGCGGTTCTGCAGGTACGAAGCCGTACGCAACGAGAGCTGGAAAATCCGGTGCAGTCCACTGGTGAGACTGGCCCCTCGTTGGACCAGTATAGCCACACAACCTGGTCATCGTTGCCATCGGAGCCGCGGCCCATTGCTGCAGAAGAGGAGGGAGATGGAACTGAGGAGCATACGCGCCCGCCTGGGGTCCACAATGCATGAACTGAGCCTGCTCAGATGCACAAATGGGGCCTATTGATTCGCCATGTTCTCCTAGTCTCTCTTCCATGGAGCTGACTAGACGGTGAACTGGTTCTCTTCACACGACGCCTGGTGTGGTTCTTTTCCATGTGAGCCCTCTCCGAATGGACATCGAGCACCTTGGAATGGCTGCGCCACGAACTGGCAGCTTGTGATTAGCTGTTCAGTCACCATGAACTTTTCTCTGCTCTCGCCAAAGTGGCTTTTGGGGCAGAATGTGTTTTTTGTTTACTTTTTGATTGTTGAAGGTCGAAATGACCAGTACCCTATGGCAGCGCACCAGGGTGCATTGATTGACTTCAAGTCAACCGAAGACACCTGTTCTTTGTGCCCCGCATTCGACGGACTCCCGCCGAGCGCCTCAAACTCAAAATTCAAAACTCAAAACTCAAAACTATCTATCTATCTATGACATTTGTTTTTTCGTTCACTACTGTGTTGCTGTGACTGCAGTCTCCAGAGGGCCATCAGACTTCCAACTTATTGGTGTGTGCTGTTCACAAGAGTTATTGAAATAAACCATAATGAATAGCGTGTCTGTTTCAACAAGCAGATGAAGCATCGAGCAGATGAAACATCGAGCAGTGGCAGGATCAGGAGCAACTCCGCGACCAGATGCTCGGAGTAAAATGTCTCAAAGCTCCTGCAGGGCAGTCTTGGGTCAAATCGCAAAAAAGTGCTGGGGTTGAAGAGAGTTGATGAAGCAGCGAAACAGGATCCAGGAACGTTGAAAGTTTCACTACTCTTCTTGCAAGCAGGACAGCCTAAAAATGGCTGATGCCTCTTTTCTTGATAGTTTTCAATCAAGAACAGCTACTTTTGTTCCCCTGAGCCCGACGAAATCCCACTCCTTCAGTTCCTGAGGAACATTGGTGGATGGGTTGGGAGCCTTGGGCGGAGCTCCTTAGAGGCAGACCAGGCGCGGAGCGACCGAAATCGATTGGGAGATTCGGGAATCCGAACAGGAGGTGCTTGCCCCAGTGGCCGAAAATGAATCATCCGTGATTTTCACTAGAAAGAAAAGCAAAGAAAAAAACAAGAAAAATAACTATTAATAAAATCGTAGGGATGGCCTCCAACCTACTAGCGATGGCCTCCAGAAAAAAAAAAAACAAAACTATCACGTCCTGGAGATGAGGATGTTGAACATTCTGCCTGGAAGACCGCTGATGACCACTTTTGGATCACACCCAGTCATGCTTACACCGTGGCTTCGTATTGGAGATTTCATGAGATTTCTCACCTGGGAGTCGTTCACGTCCAGCAAAGGCCACCAGGTCCAGGTTACCTCAAGAATTTGGCACTGCGAGTATGCCGCCAGGTTCCAAGTCAGAGTAAAATTCTGTAATGAAATCATTGCACCTGTGAGGGTAGCCAGACTGCCCTACCGCAAGGATGCTACGAACGGGGCTCCTGGCCTTACTGGGCACAAGAAGCTACGAACGGGACTCCTACCGCCATCTTTCTTGAGAAACAAGTCACGACCCACGACAGCGACCCGCGACGCCTCCATGGGCGGTCGCACTGATCTCCAGGCAGCCTTTGAGTGCTTGGAGAAGTCCGATAGCCGAGAAGAGGCGTGTCGAAGCAGCGGTGTTTGGCGATACAAAGACAAACAAAGAGCAATGGCCTCCAACCTAGAAGGATGGCCTCGAACCTAGAAGGAGATGCCCGAGAAAAGCGGGTCGATCCTGGTCGCCTGGAGCAACCAAGTTCGGGTGTTCTGGTCGCCTGCGCGGTTAGACATCGAAAAAAGGGATTGATCGAGTGGAAGACATGGTCTGTCGGTCCGGACCTTGGAAGGGTTGACAAATCGTCGCCTACAGCGGTCAGACGCTCGGAACTTCCTAAGCAACTCCCACTCTGTTCAGAACTTCCTGTGGCCGCCTGTGGCCCTGACACCATTTTTGGGCGGATCCGGCTGACTAGTTCTGGAAGATTTGGGTTACCAAAATACTTTGAGCGTCATAACTTTAGTCGGCTTGTGAGTCGGCTTTTAGAGTCAAGTCTTCAAAACGATTGCTTCATGACATCGAGTTGATTCACCGGGTTTTGCCCAGTGGTGCTTGTAGTATCTTCCTTTGGCCAGGATTTCTGTGTCCAGCGTAGCCATTCGGTGGAGTCGATGGAAGCCGTACGCTTCGAGGAGAGGGCGAAGCAAAGAGCAGATCGGGGGAGGAAGAACACAAAATAAGGACAAAAACATACAAAAAACCTTTGATATTTTGTTTCTTACTTTTCTTTCTTCGTTGGTTCTAATAGCGATGGCCTGCAACCTACTCACTCTTAGGTTGGAGGCCATTGCTTTTAGGTTTGAGGCCATCGCT